AAAAAAAGGTGTCGAGAACAAATGCCAAAGACTCTTAAACCCACAACATATGTACAAGAGTAAAAAGAGACAAAATGGGAAATTAATGGTAATGGCATAGAACAACATCTCTCCCTGTGTGATTCAAAGGATGGGGCACTGTGTTTCTGACCATAAGCTGCATGAAGGAGAATGTGTTAGAGGGCCCTTTGTCAGTATCTGTTTGATCAAAATTCTTTATGTCGTACAGGATCCTTATTTCCAGTTGCTCTCACTTTTTGTTTGTTTTTTAAAGAAGGAATGTAATAGTCAAAATAAGGAAAGCATCAAAGTCACTTCCAGGACCCTAGAGTAAAATTGTTTTTTTTACACATTTGCAAACGTTTTGTCATATTGCTTTATTGTGTCATTTTCACAGACGAGAAAACCCGCGTCTACGGGACCACAGAAAAGAAGTTTGATCAAATACTGAGAAGGAAGCCTCCACATCTGCACATCTAGGTTGTTCCAATTCATTGACGGCTCCTGTGAAACCACATCTCAACGCGACCATACTGCTCTGAGTGGTTTGTTTTCTCTTAACAGAGAAGTGATCTGTTTGCAACAGAAGTTCCCAAGTCCTGTACAACAGTCCTATCTGTGCACTGGCAGAGGTATTGAATCTTTTCAGAGTTATCTCTACCCAAAAGAATTATTACTTTTATACATGGAACATTATGAACGTGTTTCCCTTTGCAAGCCGTTTTATACTTTCTGCACGTTTGTGCTTTTATTGAGTATAAAAATAGGTCTCCTTTAAAATTCTATTTAAGTTCACTAAAAAACTACTTGTTTGTGAAATTCTCTTAAAAACTCACTGCATCCACATGGAATAGATAAAACTAATCAGGCAGCTAATTGACATAGGTAGTGTTAAAAAAATAACAATGAAAAAAAAATGAGGATACGTGAGGATTCAAGAAAAAAGCCAGTAGGAAAGTACAATGGAAGAGAGGTAAATTTCATAAATCGTGTTTAATCTTTATTGTGATTGAAAATGTGGGCTCCACAGAAAGTGGGGGTGGGGTGGCTGAGCCGTTATCAAAGAGCAGAATTTGTCAGATCATCAGATGAAAGGGTAAATATGGTAGAATAAATCCAATAAATGAACAGTGAGAAAGAGCCAACGATGAAAACAAGCCAGATCTCTGCAAAGCACGTGTTAAGAGTCATTACATGGAGACGGTGACTTTGGGAGCTTGTGAATCCCTGTGTTGAACACCTAAGGCTGTCTGTGTCCCCACAGGCCTGGGCTATACAAAGGGTACTGGAAACTGACATTCCTAATGGAAATTTTATAAAATTTGGCCCTTACAAGAACTGAGAAATAGCCTGAAAAATCTTCCCTGAAGCTGTAGTAAAGAAAGTTTCTTATCTACTGATAAAATCATCAACTCAGTGAACTATTTTCGCTGGTCGTCCTACATAAGAAAAAAGCACAAATATATCTGCCTCAGAAATCTGTTAAAAGCAGGGGACCACGCAGTAAAAGAGTATAAAGATTCTATAAATGGGAGAGTCCAAGAAAACCTCTCTCCAAAGTGTCCACAAGGATATATATGCCCATTAGAAGAAAAAGTAAGAATATACATATTATTAATCATATCAGAGAATAAAAAAGTTAAGGTTGATATAATATATTTATATTGAATGACTACTTTAAAATCGAGCAACTTATTTGCTTTCTTTCCCAGGTTCCTTGGGCAAGTCATTTAAGTTCTGAAGAGAAAAGCAAATGTAACTTTCTCAAACTGGAGCAATTACAAATGATTCTGGTTTCCACTCTCAGAGAAGGGAGACACAAGTCCTGCCTTTTCAGTCTTTTTTCTTTCTCAAAAAAACAACTAAATCATCCTGACTGCTTATATGCATGCATATTTAAATCACTTCCCCTTGATTAACATTAAAAAGAAACACTTCTGCCCAAAACGGTTTTAAAGATTTTTTTTCCCAGCTAAAGGGTAATCTTTCTACAAATAATTTGCCCTGTGACTGTAGTCATTCATAACATACATATTTGCAAAGCACAGTTTAAATACACTGCCTTTATTAGCAATATATATTTTTTAATAAAAAGGATGCATGCCAGAGTGTAAGAACTAGAAGATTATTTCCACAGTCTAAAGAATTAATAAGAGAATGCTGGTTCTTAAAGATGGAAATCTTAGCAAAATGCCATCGTAAGTCTGTGAACTACTTATAAACAGCAGGATCTGCACTGGCTAGGCTGCAGAGCACTCGGCGCCCCTCCCCCCACCACGTTGCCATTTAAAAATATTCTGTCAATGCTTAGTTAAAAATAAGACTTACTTAAGAGACCAAAAAAATGCAATCCAACTTTTATTGAAGACTATCCAGTGGTAAGAATACCTGTGTATTATATTATGCTTTAGACATTCAATAAAGAATTCATTAAGAATGATTTTTCACAATGCAGTCATCAAAACAGCCTTAAATATTGTTAAAAGCGCATTCGAGCGCCCGTCCTGAGTTCTAACAGGCTTTTAATTTCAGGTCACCGATCATCTATTTTCTTCTCTTCTTTTACTATCAAGAACTTAGGCTACATAGTTTTTTTTTTTTAAATTTATCAAGACTATTAGTTTCCAGTCCGAAGCCAAATTATTACGTTACTGATTTCCTTAACTCAGTTTCTACCTCACCACAGAAAATGTCCGATTCATCTATAATTGAAACATAAAATACATGCAGAGGTTTCCGTTTTTCAAAATACATAGACTCAGCCTTATAAATGGGTCTGTGTTGTCAACAAGTTTTAGAACTGCAGCAGAGGGCCGCCACGTAAAATCACCAGCACAGAGAACTGTCAATTGTAAACTCTGGTTCAATTATCCGTGGCTAAAATAAATGTCCCACCAATGACTACATCAGTCGATCATGTTGGGGGGG